TTCTAGTCTCCTGTTTCCTTCCTGTAAAGTAGTGTCCATGGTGAACAGAGGAGCAAAGGTGATTGACCTGATCAAATTTCTAACCCGGGATCCCTACCGAAAATTAGCCACAGTGTTAACGTGACTCAAATTACGGTACCATTTTTCAGCTGAGACTTATTCAGCATTATGGAATATACTGGAAAGACAGAACGAAGGTAAATGACAGATATAGCATGGTTTCCACACTTATTACAGTAGAAATGCTTCGGTATCTGAGAACAAAAATGAAATACATAAAGAAATACGGTGGAGGAAAGGCAAAATTCACAAAAACAAATTAAGAGAATGCGAAAGTTTTAGCGCAATCCAAATAGGTGAAGCGATTGTCGTCTGCGGTTGTCCGAATCTTCGAGAAGATGCGCCGAAGGCTGAGGCAACAGATCTCCGGAAACGTTCAGTCCGTATAAATAGTGCGACGTAATGGAACCTTTTTTTTGGGGGCAGGCAGTAAAGCAGCGTGACGATATTTTCAGAAACTTTTCTGTTTTTGCCATCATTGTTCGGATGAATACAAAATGTTAGGGCTGTATTGATGGCTTGATCGCACCAATGATTCGTTGACACGGGCAGATTGCCATCAAATACCTTACGATGGACTGGATACCGTAGCCTTTGATACATTTTCCCAAAAGATGCATTTCTAGTTGCGAATTACATCAAAATTCTGACGCAGGTTATAGCACAGCATCTGGAACATCGAAATTGGTTTCCATTGTGCTCTTTGAACGGTTACTTTTGTACCCATAGTCTATATATGTCTGAAATCAGGAGTTTTACTTTTATAACATTTATTAATCTACTGGCATGCCTTGTTGTGCGTCCATCAGTTCTCTGATGCATCCTCAGGTTAAGTAAATAATTAGTGCCCTCTCTTACGATATCGCATTTAAATAAACTTCCATCGATAAATTACTAATATATGCATTGTCTCCTCGTATTATTTCATGTTTAGGAAGGGGTTGACAAAACCAGTGAAAATGAAATCATCCAGAAGGCCGTCGCCTCACTGAAAGAAGCTGAAAAGGTTATTGCGATGGGCTGAAAACTTGAACGCGAACGAAATATAGTATTTCAATTTGCAGTTTTTCGTTGTATTTTTAACTTCATATTTATTTCTTTTATTGAAGTTAGTTTGCAAATATAGGTACTGTATCAGTGTCTTAAAACCCTCTGATTATTCTTCTGCTGTAGCCAAAATTTCAAGAGGGTCATATGGAAAATGTATTATTAAAAGTCAGCTGTTTATGAAGGAGTTTAGTGTAACTGAACCTAATGCTTGAATTGCATATGAACGCTACAACGCCCATGTAAGTGGCTAAACCTTGTAAATGTGGTTCAAATTCGAAAGCTGTGACTGTCAGTGCTTACCAATAAGCCAGGTTAAAATTATTAAAAGTAATTCTGTTGCGAATAAAATTTTGCGAGATGCGTTTGGTAGTGGGAGGTTAGTTACCTGACGCTGATCGCCTCCACGTGATACCTGTTGGATTCCCATTCCTATTTATGATACTCATATCCAAAGTGATTACATGCATGGTAGTTGTCTACTAAGGTTCGATACCTGCTACTCACTGCATATCAAGCTCGCACAGACGTTGTCGCCACGTGTCGTCAGATTTCGTCAAGTCGTTTTCGACTACTCGTTTCTCGACAAAGGAATGATTACATGAGTACTCAGATGTTGTCCCCGTCAGTGCACATAGAATTAGTGATCTGGGCTTGCGAAAGCCCTATCGTTGCACGTACATTTAATATAGTTTCCAGATGTCATCACAGTGCTTGTTTGTCTATGTTAATGTTGAACAGTACGGTGATTTTTCACCTGGCCGATTTCACTTATCCAGACGCTAGAACTATCGCAGGAGTTAGCAGACATCGAAGTACAGTTAAGCAAATAAAGCTACTACAAATTTGAAAATTTATTCTCTTTCCAGCGGAAAAGCTGGATGCTGGTAGCACTGGGATACTTAGGATATTTCGTAACATTTATGAATTTTAAATTTAGGTATGCGTGGACATGGAGTCAGCTAGGGAATTGGAAGTGATTTTTATTCGTCTGTTTGCGAAACACAGACGACCTGACTAATCTTTGACTTAAAGCACTGATCCATATAGCTTTTGATAACGTTGATGAGGTAGGATCTGGCGGTGTTGAAGATCATATATCGAACATTGAAGTTAGTTTAGTGGAGGCACTGGAATTATATCGACACTATCTTTGTTTTGTTTGGCACCAGAAGGATTTTAATTATTTGTTACTCTGGGCATCATGCCAAGCACCGTACTTCCGCTCCTTATCTATAAACTCTTGCACGGACTGGACAGTGAGCGATTTTCTGCAGCGTTAGTTTCACGCTTTCTGCTTTACTGTTTCACTATGAACGACCGGTACCGTAGGGTCGTACTGTCCGGCATGTTTAGTAAATTTAGTGAATCACTTATGCTACCAGTGCTCACACACTTCACCAGTGGTTTCAAGTTTTCAGAGGACACCATGAACCTACGAAACAGTGCCAATGAATCAACGATAACATCGGTTGATTTTCAACACCGTTCTCACGAGGACTTCAATGATGATAATAAATAGTGATATTTTAAATTTTCATGATATTTTGGGGTTTTTTAATATTTGGTTCAAAGCGAAGTCTTCTTCGTTTCCAATGGTCTGTAATTTATGAGCAGCGACCAACTGCACTTTCAGATAGGTCACTAGATTTTTGAGTCAGCCGTATAATTGCCAATGGTGATACTACACGCTGCATACGGTAGTGATGGATGGGGGGAGGAATTTTCAATCTACTAGTTGAATTGCAGTATTGTGCGGTGGCAGAAAGCGAGCAGGTGTAAGATGTTGTACTTATTGCCAAGCAAGAAACTGAAAAGTTGTTCGTTTCATGCTGGCTTGGCACTCCCCGACAACACATTAAGTCTGACCTGGCTGGGCGAATAATCAGAAGTAAAATGGTTTATTCAGTCTTGGGTAAAAATTGTCATTGCAAGATGCATTCATTAAACTTAGTGTACGGCAAACGTTTTTCCAAAATTCGGTACCATTCAGCCAAATGGAGTTGCGGCAAGCTCAGATTTGTGAGTCACTAATCCGGCTGGCTTTGGTAGACCGCAAACTTTAGAAATGAGATTGGAACCGTT